GATAATAACTTACTAATTTGAAGCCCCTAATTGTTGATTATATGATAAGTATGAGCTTTTAATGAGAATTAAATTCTTATAATTTAACATTCTGATTATTGCAAACATATCCTGAATATTGGATTTAAGAGCTTAGTAGTGAAGTACGCCTGATTTAACCATGTTTAATAAGGATTAGAAAAGAAGAACACGATTAATTAATGAATACATTTAAACACTACGAGTCTAACTTTAATTATGAGCACGAGATCCTTAATGATTTGGGTCTGCCCTTATGGGCATCCACTTACATAAATCTTAAATTAAACATCAAGTGAATGTCTGAATACCCCGCTCTTGGAATAATTAAAATATTAAGATTCATTGAACAGAGGTAGATTAAACCATTGAATTTAAATTTAATATTAGATGATTAATTAAACATAATAAGTTCAAATGAACTCGAAATGATTCAAAGAGTTCTAAAAGTTATTTACGGAGTTTTGCCCCGGACACTTTTATGGTATTTTGAATATTTTGAAGAACAACTAGACTTATTACTCTTTGCTCAAAAAAATCATCTATTAAAATTTTTAGGGGCCCGCCAAGTTATATCTCGGGACTCCATAATTCAGCTAAAGTAATAAGAATGTTCTACACTACTTATCCTACACTAATTGACCCGATGCTCAAAGATTTGAGTCTTCCATAAGGTATTTAAATCCTTATGAGCAACTAAGAATATTTGTTTTTGTCACATATGGATCATCTGACTTGTATAAGTCTAAAGTCTAGGTGGCTAGTGCAATGACGATAATGTTATGTGCGTTAAATGAGGGATACGACGTGAGATTTAGAATAGTATCTCTTACCTCGATGACTTTTAATAAAATGAGAGGATAAAGACCGATAATAATATTCGACAACTCTTGAGAAGATGGTTGCCCCCGATACTCTTAAGTTTGTAATTCTAGCTCGATCAAATTAATTAACTTATGGACAGTACCACTCTAAAAAATAATTTAAATGAAAATCCCCTTTGCATGATAAAGTAAATTTTATATGCATGAAAATTAATTAAAAATGAAAATATATAAAGGTCCGCGGTTAATCACTTGGATTGAGGTTAGGACTGTATTCCGTAGGTTACCGGGTTGGTAGCTATCACTTAAAGTCGGGAAGCACACAGTCCAGCTCTGAGCCCCCACTTTTAACAATGTCTTCCACAGCCTTGATCTTCTATTAAATTGTTCTTTTACTCGCTCGTGTTTTGCTACAACTCGTTTTTCCGACTTTTTTCGTATTGGATGCTCCTGTTTACTTTCTTGCAATTTATTTAAACTTTCCGAAATTATATTATGTTTTATGATGCTAACTATGCAGCGGTAGCAGAGGCCCAGGTACACATTTATATTTTATGCACTGCAATTTTACTTATTTACTTTACAGCATTTTCATACCTACATTTATTTACTTACAAAAATAAATCAAAACTGAAAAAAACAAAAAAACATGTTTCAAAATTAAAACATCCTTTTCAAAATAAAAGAAAAAACATAATACATCATTTTGAATTCACGGGAGTCCCTCGAATGTGATAACCTAAGGTTGTTAATGAGATCGCTCCGGTTTAAATGAGCTTAACAACTCATTTAGACTAAGTAAATTTAAGATAAAATAGTGATACCTGAACGAGAGAACCATGGGATTTAAACCGGTGTCGCTCTAATCAACTTTAATTTCCGCTAAATAAGACATTTGAACAACAACAAATCAAAACTTGTCACTTAAACTGTAAACTCTTAAACCTTGAACTTGGAGTTGTCACTTCGACGAGGAGTTTGGAGCTAACACTACGGCAGCATGACCAGAAGATACAGAAGAACAACTTCGAGAGAGCACGTGGATCCACAATAGCAATCTTTCTTAGAATTTAATAACAAACCATAGGATTTCGAGGTAGTTCGTCTAGTACGGCATAAATCCTCAACTTATCTTTAAGTCTTTGCACAATTATATTGTGCAATTTAAGCTCTAACTCGTTTTAGGCTATGAGGTCATTGTTTGTCACGACGTAAACTCTCTAATCTTCCAGGCTATTTGTATGATTGAGTCATGCAAATGTAAGCTCTCATTAATAAAATTGGCAAGTCACTGAGGTCCTCAGGATCCGTGGCATCCACTAGCATTCTCCCTTGGGATTCCATAATAAGTGTTCCAAACTTGATTTTTTCCCATTTGATGCTCCTATGTCCGACCTTCAAACTCCTAAACTTTGAAATTCTTGAAGACAATATTTTTTTGATCTAAATCGAGAGTTTTATTGAGTGATCTTGTTCATTTAAGCTGTAATTAATTGTAGGGGTTTATTCTTATAGGAAACTTTAGAACCCAGCTTAATATAAACTCTTTCTAATTTTTTATATTATATAGGGGGAATTTGTCGGTCAATATAAATGATTTCGCTGACTAAAACGGATGTCATAAATTCTTTACTTTATTTAATCGATCATCATTAACGATTAATGTATCTATTCTTCGTGATAGATGCATCGTTTGCGATATTGTGCCCGTTTATTTAAACTTTGACACATATGGGATGGGTTTTGTCTCATGTTTTAAAAATTAAAATATTATTTTCCAAAACTATATATATTACATTAAAAATGTACTCTCCAAAAAAGACGACCGACACATCTCTTTCCACATCTATTCTCACTTGGTAATCTTATCATCGTCTTTTTTCTTCCTCTATCTCCGCAAGTTCTCCCACCACAAGGAGACGCTCTCATAGTTACTAATTTTACCCATTTATCTTCAGACACTTATATTTGAATATTCGCTCAACAGATTGCAACAAGATGATAAAGCCATTTTGATCCATATCTCTATCAAATTCTAGTAGATCCACCTTGATTTTGAAATCTCTGTGTTCTCCATATATGGGCTCCTCTTTCAGCCTCGTCTAATACTGAATCCCGAAGTGGCGGGGCCTGTATTCCTCATCACTGACATTTTTCCTATGGAACGAATTCAGATCCTCGTCCCAATTTGTCGTTCAACTCTCCAAATTGCGATCGAAGATAAAATCTCCCCCAAAGTTCCATCATAATCTTTGCGAGCCTCTGTTGAAGTCAACAGATCTCCTATTGTATCACGTCCCTGGTAGGTTCCGGTGCGTATTTCAGCGGTGGCATGATTAGGGTTACGGTTTGGGTTTGAAAAGGGTGGTTGAGGATAGGAAAGAAAAATTTTTGTACGCGGGGGACGATGTAGGAAACCCTAGGATAGGACTAGGATAAGGCTAACTCTGATAACAAATGATAATTAAATCTAATACAAACAAACCACAATACAGAAGAAAATATTATTATTCAAGAGCAGATTGGATTACAATCAAAACTCAAAAGAAATAGAAACACAACAACGTCACTATTTGGCTAGGGGCGGATAGGAAGATACACGAACAGCGATGGTGATGGCGCGGTGGCTGGTGGCTGAAAATAGCGAAGGGTAAGAACATGTGGCTGGATATTGGATACAGAGAAGGGGAGGGGTGATCGGCTGTTAGGAAGCCACAGAGAGAGATGAGAGAAGGGTCTGCTGCTGAAATCTGGGAGGTTGGTAGGTTGTAGGGCAGCTGACAATTCGAAGCAAGAAGAGGGGAAGAGGGGAAGAGGGGAAGAGGTTTACGGCTGAACTGGGAGGAGGATTATGGAGTGAAGGGCGGCGGGAAGAGCAAAAGAGGGGATAGCGTGGTTAAAACAAAAAGAAGAGTGGTGGCCGTAACAGTGAACAAGGAAGGTATAGAGATAGTAGAGAAGATAATCACCACCTCGGAGCGGGATACAACTGGAGCAATACTTGTACTCAGATAAGTCCTATCAAGAAGAGACACCTGGAGGCAATAATAAATATATCTCAAGAAATTTACTAATGATAAATTGGACAAAGTAAATTAAATTCTTTTGGAAACAAGCCAACAATAGATTTACACCCATGCCGGAAGCAACAAAAATTGTCGTGACTGCTAGGTCTCAGAACATTGACCTATGTGTTGGAAAATCAAGGGGTATCTGTGTGAGCCAAGGCCCTTAAGCACTTCTAACATTGAATAAAATTGGTATAGTCCTGAAGTTTGACCATATTGATTAGACCTATTTCCATTATCTCATCTCAAAATTTTTATATATATGAACAACTTTATTGATCCATGGAAGAAAAGTATATTTCTAACTACATCACTGTGAGGGAAATATAATATGTTTTTGTTGAAGAACATTTTGCATATCCTAATAAACCCCACGTTACCCAGATTGTTTCCCACTTAAATTTTATCACAAAGCATTTTACATACTGAGACTATGGTACTATTTAATTTTTTTTTTTTAATAAATATATCTCAAGAAATTTACTAATGATAAATTGGACAAAGTAAATTAAATTCTTTTGGAAACAAGCCAACAATAGATTTACACCCATGCCGGAAGCAACAAAAATTGTCGTGACTGCTAGGTCTCAGAACATTGACCTATGTGTTGGAAAATCAAGGGGTATTTGTGTGAGCCAAGGCCCTTAAGCACTTCTAACATTGAATAAAATTGGTATAGTCCTGAAGTTTGACCATATTGATTAGACCTATTTCCATTATCTCATCTCAAAATTTTTATATATATGAACAACTTTATTGATCCATGGAAGAAAAGTATATTTCTAACTACATCACTGTGAGGGAAATATAATATGTTTTTGTTGAAGAACATTTTGCATACTACACTTTGGTGCTATTGCTTGTTTCACATAAAGCTAAACTGAAATAATCATAAATTTTGACCATATTGACCAGACATATTTTTATTCGTCTGTGTTATACAGTTGTATTCCAGAAGAACCTAGCTTTAATGATTTATAATCGGAAATTTTATCCAACTTCATCACTGTAATGGAAACACCATCATATAAATATGTTTGATCCTACAGTTCAAAAGTTGAAAGAATAGGCATCTTATTAAAGTAAATGCTCACCTTGTCGGAAACACCTGCACGCTCATAATACTTCTTAGCAATTTCAAGACAGTTCGCATCTCTTTCACATGCAACCAAATAGCCTGAATCAGGTAGAGCTAATGCAATAGCTAAAGATGAGTACCCCTGGAAAAAAAGAAAGAGCATATTAATGCAAATGAAGCTTATAAAAAATAACATTGAAGAACTATCTTTTCAGGAATCTAATGTTAATCAAATAATACATTAGTTTAACAATAAAAACGGCTATTACTAAAGTAAAAAGTAGAAGGATGATAAAAGAAAAGAAAATATATTTTGAATATCGCATAGCATCCCGCTTATAAAAAGGTGAAACTAAAATGCAAATCAGTGCTTGAGTTCTTGCATTATAGAAAGGAAGCCTAACAAGAAAAGGAGCAAATTTTTTATTTAACAAAATCTTGTAGCAATATGCCAGAAAAATGAGTAAGTCAATCTGTATTTATTTAATAGAAAGCTTTGGTGAATTAGTGGCTCCCTACGGAGAACAACATACTCCTTTGTTCATTGTAATGTTGGGATCCAAATAGAAAATTGACTCGAATGTCATGCAAGTTATGCTTCTATCTCATAAATGATGCAAGCATGACATCTAACATGAGAATAGGTCCTAAAGTTCCAAGTACATGGTTTAGAGTGGATGTTCTCCATCTTACTCTTGTTTAGCAAAGACATTCGTGATCTGAACAGTAACATACAATTGAACACAAAATGTGCTCATGCAGGACTCCAGAAGGGTCCAACATATCACCACTATGGAGTCTTTGACTCACATTAGCCTTTGTAAACTACAAACCCTTACAAGCTTTAATACTAGAAAAATTAATATATATAAGAACAATCAAATTTTCTCACACCAAATACTATTTAGTAAAAGCTAAAAATTCAGATTCAGCAGACAAATGAGTTGAACAACGGATAAAAATAATTAATCATTATATCAGTGCTAATAACTGATTGGCATTTGAACGCTTGCACTTGAAGGAAACATCAATTGAAAATTTGACTTGATTTGTTGGCCTGCTGTTTTCAGTGGTTTAGCTGGTTCTATTTAGCCTTTGTTTATTTCAAGAATCTCCAATTGGTCCATGATATGGACATTAGTTTTACATTTATGAGATTATCAGCAAGGGTGTCAAATTGGTTTCCAAGTCGGGTTTGGATGTGACCCAAAGTTGACTCGATCTGAAACTAATTGACCCAAACCAACACAAATATTAAATAGGTTAGAAAGTCTAGCCCAGCCCTACCTGCCTTCAACTCGCTGACCCTATAACCCGTTAACACGAGTCATAAAACTATTAGGGCTGATTTAGGGTAATTCGGGTTGATTTCAGGTCAATCTTGGGTCGAACTATCAATTTTAGGTTGGCTGGTCAACCCGACAAAATCCAAAAAATTAAACGGTTAAGATTCCTAACCCGAACCCAACAAAAAAGTTTCTCTCGAACACAATTTTCAAGTAGAGTCTAGGTTGAGTTGGCATGTCCAGTCATTTTCTGACACCCGTAGATATTAGAACTTAAAAAGTGTTGTTGGGCTTTTAGCTTTTTTACAGCACAATAATTCTGTTTTCAGACTCCAAATAGACTTGAGATTCTTGTGGGAGTTAAATTGTTACAATAATCCTCTATTTTATGGTTCCTGAGTTTACAACTGGAAGTCATCGGCCTTTTCTTGAAGTTCCCTAATCTTTAGCATTTTTGGCTTCAGCTATATTATTTGTATTTCAGATTGCCTTTTAGTTCATTGTTCCTATGATTGAAAATTGGAAAGGAATATTCCTATGATTGATAATTTAAAGATAAATTTGCAAACATAGCGCACAATTCTTGTATATTTATGAAAAAGATATAAGATGACTTATTCTTATTGATACAAAGAGGGGTATAAATACCCATTACAAGACTTATTGGTCAGGAAAACAATAAAAACAGAATAAAGTAGGTAAGGAAAGAAATAATAACAAAGATAATAAGCAGCTAATCTCTCTAATTAAGGAGACAAAATAAATAGAGATTCCTAAGATCCCTCATATAATTTATAACCTTCTAAATATAGAGTTATAATAAATATAGAATATAATCAGCATTATTTCTGAGATCTTTCAACACTTCCCCTCAAGCTGGCATGAAGATGTCACTCATGGAAAGCTTGCTAACTAGATTCTCGTGTTGCACTTTGAAAGGCCTTTTGTTAGAATATTTGTTGTTTGGCTAGCAGTTAGTATGTAGGACATACATATCACACCACTATCTATCTTCTCCTTGATGAAATGTTTGTCAACTTCTACATGTTTTGTTCTGTCATGTAGAACTGGATTATGAGCTATAAAGACTGCAGTCTCGTTGTCGCACTAAACTTTAATAGGTGTTGGTATAGGAATCTTCAACTCTTCCAGGAGTCTTTTTATTCATAATACTTCACAGAGTCCATGGGCCACCGAGCGGAATTCTGCTTCGGCACTACTTCTTGCTACAACACTGTTTTTTACTTTTCCAAGTAACTAGATTTCCGCCTACAAAGGTACAATAACCTGATGTGGAACTTCTATCATTTACGTCTCCTGCCCAATCTGCATCTGTGTAGGCCTCTATTAGAAGATATTCTCTTTTTTTTAACAAAAGCCCTTTTCCAGGATTTCTTCTGAGATATCTCAAAATTAGGAATACAGCTTCGAAGTGAGTAAGTCCAGGTGAATGCATGAATTGATTAAAATAGATTAGTCGCCCTACCAATCTTTGATAGCGTTCTTTGTCCATTACCTCATTAGTTTTCGATGGTATTAGTTTTCGTTGTTTTCAATTTTATATTATGTTCTATTGGCGTATCTGCTGCCTTGCAACCTTTCATTCCTGTTTCTTTGAGTAAATCAAATACATACTTGTGTTGATTGACAAAAATTCCCTCCTTGGATCTTACAAACTGCATTCCGATGAAATATTTCAGGTTTCCCAAGTCTTTAATATCAAATTTGGCTTCAAGTTTTCTCTTCAGGTTGCTAATCTCCAGAGGATCACCCCCTGTCATGATTATGTCATCTACATACACAATCACAATGGCTACTTTATCTTTAATGAAATGTTTGAAAAAAAGAGTGTGATCAGCTTGGCTTTGAGAGAATCCATGTCTAATAAAAACATCACCAAAACGCTCAAACCAAGCTCTAGAAGACTGCTTTAACCCGTACATAGACTTTTTTTAATTTGCATACTTTACCTTTTCCAAATTTTTCTTCAAATCCGGGTGGTAGGTCCATATATACTTCTCGCAATTCTCCATTTAAAAACGCATTTTTTACATCAAATTGATGAAGTGGTCAGTTGAAGCTAACAGCAAGAGAAAGAAGTACTCTAATATAGTTAATTTTAGCAACAGGAGCAAAAGTCTCTTGGTAATCAATACCATGAATTTGAGTAAATCCTTTTGCTACTAGTCTCACTTTGTATCTCTCCACACTTCCATCAGCTTTAAACTTCACAGTGAACACCCATTTACATCCAATCATCTTCTTGTCTTTAGGTAGATCAATGTCTGTCCAGGTGTTATTTCTTTTAAGAGTATTTATTTCTTCAATCACAGCTAACTTCCAACTCGATTCACTTAATGCTTCCTGAATATTTCTTGGAACAAATATGTTAGAAATCCTAGACATAAATGCTCTATGATTTTTGGATATTTTTTCATATGACAAGTATTGTGTGATAAGATGTTTCATACTTGCTCGGATTCCTTTTTTGAAAGCAATTGAAAGATCAAGATCAGAAGGAGTGAAAGTAGAGGGAAGGTTACTCTGAGTTGTAGGGTCATTATTCGGCAAATGTGATTGAACATCTGCTGCGGGAATAACTGGGATTGTAGTAACTTTATGGAATTTCTTCCTAGTATAAACCTGCAGCTCATGTTGAGGATTATGATCCGTTGAAAGTACTTCTCCCCTTGTCTCTGATAAAATATTATCTAGCAAAATAGAATTAGTAGTACTGACCCTAGTTTCCATATCAGAATTAGTTAAAGGAGAATTAGTTGAATGAATTAGTTGAAGGAATGAGTAAAGTTTCTCAAAAATTATTTTCTTCAACTAATTTCTCATGAAGAAAATTATTTTGAAAAAACGGGTGATCCTCGATAAACTTGACATCCATGCTCTCAAAAAATTTCTTTTTTTCAGGATTAAAGCATTTGTGCCCACATTTATTGAAAGCATACCCAATAAAAACACATTTTTCGGCTTTGGGATCAAGTTTTGAGTGAAACACATTTAGGTTATGCACATAGCAAACACATCCAAAGAAAGGTGTTTTAAATTTCAGAACTTGAAATGACATTTTGTTTGTTAAATAACAAGAGGTGAGGAGTGCATTATCCCAAAGATATTTAGGAACATTCATGAAAAACATAAGTGCCCTGGTAACTTCGAGTAAATGTTTATTTTTTCTTTCAGCAATACCATTTTGTTGTGATGTGGCACGACAAGTGGATTGGTGCAGAATATTTTTTTTCAAAATAAATGTTCTCAAATATTTGTTGAAATATTCAGTCACATTATCCATTCTTAGAATGTCAATTTTTGTTTAAAATTGATTTTCAATCATGTGAAAAAAATCTTTAAATCGTTGTTCAACTTCAGTTTTTTTTCCAATAAATACATCCAGCAAACTCGTGTGTGATCATCAATAAATGTTACAAACCATTTTTTTCCTGAAAGTGTGTTAACTTTAGATGGGCCCCAATCATCACTATGCACCAAATAAAATGGTTTTGAAGCAGGAAATGATTTTATTGAAAACAAAATACGATGACTTTTAGATAAATTACACGCTTCATAATGAAGTTTTGAATAATCAATACTTTTAAATAGTTTAGGAAATAATGATTTGAGATATGGAAAGCTGGGATGCCCTAATCTTTTATGTCATAACATAATCTGATCATGGTCAAATCTTGAACTTGTACTACCTAATCCATGAGTCGTTTTATTAGCAGAATCAGCTTCATCATAGTATTACAATCCATTTATTTTTCTAGCAGTTCCAATCATCTTCCTCGAGTTTCAATCCTGAAAAACACAATTGGAAGGAGAGAAAAAAATGAAAAAATCAAAATCTTTAGACAATTTGCTAACAGAAAGAAGATTACATGTAAGTTTTAGAACATATAAGACAGATTTCAAAGAAATTTTTTCTGAAATTTTAATATTTCCTTTTCCTGCAATAGGTGAAAAACTGTTAACAGCAATTCTGATTTTTCATAACCGAAAGATGGATAATATGAAACAAATAATTGAGAACAGCTTGTCATATAATCAGAGGCTCCTAAATCAATGATCCAAGGCGTGGTACTTTCTAGAAAAGCCAAAGGATTACTATCTGTTTGTGTTATAGAACCGATAGGCGCATTAGATGATGAGCAAGATTTCAGCAGTTTAAGAAGATAACTTGATTGCTCTTTATTAAGTGGAGATGACTCAGCCTCATTTGCGGTAGGTGTGCTATGTTCACCAGATTTTTTTCCCTTACTATTAGGTGGTTTACTATGCAATTTCCAATATTTTTCGCTAGTATGGCATGGCTTTCCACATTAGTCACAGTACAGGTTGTTTTGTCTTCTACACGTTGGTTGTGAGAAGTTTTCCTACTTATTAGGAATAGCCAGGCTGATCCTTCCACGGACTCGATTGAACCTGCCAACATCTTTCCCAACATCACATGTCTCTGACTCTCTTCTCTCCTTACCTCTGCAAAAACTTCACCAATTGGTGGCAGGGGTTTTCTTCCAATTTTCGGCCACAGACCACATCATATTCAACGTTTAAACCTGCATGAAATTTGAAGATTCGGCCAGTATCCACTATCTTCTTGTACTGGTTGTCGTCATTCTTTGATTTCCACTCATGATCGTTGAATAAGTCCAGATCCTGCCAAATCCTTTTAAGAGAATTGAAATACTTTGTCACAGAATCCTCACCTTGGCAAATTTTCCCAAGTCACAGGATCAACTCTTAAACTTTGGATTGATTTCCAAGATCAGCGTACATTTCTGAAACATTGTCCCATAATTCATTGGTTGTAGAGTAACACAGATAATTTGTACTTATCTCTTCAGTCATGGAATTGAACATGTCATTGCCATTGAGTTTTCCGCATCCCAAATGACATATGTTATGTCATTCACATCAGGCTGTTTAGTATCACTTGTTATATAGTCAATCTTTCCTCTTCCTCAGACATACATGTGAATAGATTGTGACCATCGAAGAAAATTATCACCATTTAGTCGGATTGTAAAGATCTGAATGGGATGATTTTCAGATGTATTTCTATGAGGTTCGAGCTGAGATGGCCGACTTGTCCTGGACGTGACTTCAGACATTTTAGAGACGAAGGATGGTGAATTTTCTTGAGCACGTTGTCACGGACAAATAGTTCCACATCGACTAGGTGTAGGGCCCAAAAGCAGTATTTAGGTCCTGGGCTGCCCACCTCTCTTAAGGGCTCTTTTGGGAGGTGACAAGTGGTATCAGAGCAGACTACTGCCTGTCAGGTGTGTCGAAGAATATTATCACCATTTAGTCGAATTGTAGTGATCTGAATGAGATGATTTTCAGATGTATTTCTGTGAGGTTCGGGCTGAGATGGCTGAAGAGGCTGACTTGTCCTAGACTTGAATTTAGACATTTTAGAGACGAAGGAAGGTGAATTTGCTCGAGCACGTGCTGTCTAGGAGTTTGCAGCAGTAACCCTTCGAGTGAGCAAATCGAGCAAAAAGCCGAATTAACGAAGCTGAACGATTGAGGAGTCCCGAACGAAGACAAAGCAGGCGAAGCCAAATGAACGAAGACTAACGAGAAGATGATCGAGGAGTCCCGAACAAAGCAGGCGAGGGTTTGGCCGAAGTTGCCAGCGAGATGTGATCCTCTCGAGCTCTGGTCGCAGTTGCTTCGCAGAGTTTCGGGTCTCTGTGCCGAAGGATTTCGAGACGACGACGAAGTAGAGAATGGAAAGGCGGAGTTCCGGGTCTCTGCGCCGAAGGACTTCCAGGCGACGACGAAGATCTTGTCTGAGTCGATCAATCACGATCCCGTCTGCTCCGAAGGACTTCGACGATGAATACTATATGATACGGAAATTAACCGAACGCCTGTTGATCGTAAATCTCCGATACCATGAAAAAGATATAAGAGGACTTATTCTTATTAAAACAAAGAGGGGTATAAATACTCAGTACAGAACTTATTGGTAAGGAAAGCAATAAAAACAGAATACAATAGGTAAAGAAAGAAATAATAACAAATATAATAGGTTGCTAATCTCTTTAATTAAGGAGACAAAATAAATAGAGATTCCTAAGATCTCTCATATAATTAATAACCCTCGAAATATAGAATTATAATAAATATGAAATATAATCATCATTATTTGCAAGATCTTTCAACAATTTACATATCTCACACCTCCACTTTCATATTTACATACATACACTACCGCTTTAAACCTATGCATGAAAAAGAATATTTCACTTTTAGAAATGGTAATCATGTTGTTTTTTATGTGATATTAAAGATTTGAGCGTTATCTGCGTAAATATGAAAGTTTAGGTGTGAGATATATAAGTGCATAAGAATTGTGTGTTGTTTATGCAAATGCTCCTATTTTAAAATGATTAAGATTCTTCTCTAAATCTATGGACTCCTAAAATTTATGTCCAACTCTTCTGAGGGAGTTGTTATTTTGATACAAAATTTCAGAAGGTATATTAAAAATTAGATAATGCATCTCCCAAACATTTGGTCACCATTTTATGAGGACCATATGATCAAATCCGAGATTTTACATAGGCATAAACCGCTAGGGTTAATTAGTTCTACCAGTCACATAAGTGAAGTTGCAATTAAGGCCAATTGGTACACTCAAAATGCATAACTTATAATAGCAGTTATCTGAATTTAGGATAGAGAAATAAGCTGAAAACGAAAAGTGGAGAGAATGATTACAAACCTAATCATATGGTTCCATCATTCCTGGATGCCATAGACTGGTCTATTAAGTTAGAATATAGTTAATCCAACTAAAAGAAAAATATCCCTATCAACAATCATAGGATTACTACCCTAGTTCTACCAGTCTTAATGCCGGCTCTGTAATAGTTGAAAACGGAGTGTCTAGCTACCCTAGAAAAACCTGAAAATATGAACAAAAGGAAATCATCCTACATAATTTCATCAGATATTAACTTCTCATTCATCTTATTTACTTTCTAAATTTTTCTACAGCGTTACAATACTTCTGGCAGAAAGAGACATCCGTCAAATAGTTTGGCATGGAATCTGAAGCCAATATTTTAACAAGAGAAGTCACACTGGTCCCTTCCGATTCTTAAATTTCATGTAACATGTTTTGAAAGAAGGTAAAAGAAAAACTAATTACACGACTTCTTCAAGACATAAAACAAATCCATAATAAAAGAAAGCTTGAGATTACATACCGTATAAACACCAATTTCAATGCATTTAACTGCTCCCAGAATTTCCACAAGAATTGCTAACAACTGTGCTTGATCAGGAGACACCTAAAAATTTGGAAGAGATTGCAAAAGAAAACACACTTCATTATTGCTTGTGAAATAAACATTCTGGTGGAAGCAAAACAATGAATATTAATTCATTCAACAATTTCTTTGATAATAATGAATAAACTAGTGCTAAAAGTAAAGCTCAAAACAAGCAAACCCTAATACCAAGTAAGATTCGTTTGGTTGATAAAGATTGTACAGTAGATTAGCCATTTTTTAAATGCAATGGCATGTGGAAAAAGATAGTGCAACGTACTTTAATACCATTCTCATCAATAAGAAATGTCAAGTTAATGTATGGTGTCGCATTATTCTGATGGATATTTGGCACTATTTACTAGGGAGATAATGGCAATAAAACAAACTACTTTTGATTGTTACTATAATACAAATATTTTAGTATTTGCCAGAAAGTAGTGCTTGTGCCATTAAGTGATGAAAATAAAAAAGCTGGAAATAACAATGGGGAATCCATTTTCCTGCCCATGAGAGCCATACAACACTAAAAGAACATGCATGCCTTCATTGTTCGAGAAAAAAGACAAGAGTAGCAAGTGTTATATAATAATAACAAAATATGCTCTCTGCCAAGAATAAAGATATGCGCTTATTTTTTTCATCTTAATAATACAGTTTGAAAATTAAATCCAGTCTCGTAGAAAAGAATTTTTGATGCCCTAAGACAAAGATATCCTCTTTAAGTACTCTACCGTCAATACTGGTTGAATTCAATAAATTAGAAAATCCTATTCCATCAAATGAAAATTTTGGAAGAAGTGATCACATCGCCAAGCACATCAAGATTGCAATACTTTCACCATACACGGGCCAGAAAATGCTGAATAAATCAAGGAAGTGCTCCTTCAACCTATGGATGATGACTTGGTTAAGATTCCGATTATTATAAATGGTTAGAACTTCTAATTTTTTTAAATGTAGGTTTTCAAACCATTGTTTTATAATCTTTAATGGAAGCTAGCCTAAACATTGTTCCTTCAGGCCTTGGTTGAATTATCTCAGTAACCTGTGTTAGAGAGTTGGTTTTGGAGGGTGAAAAGGAAAGGATATTGTAGCAGAGTACAACATTAATTGCCCACAATAGGTCATAATACCTAGGTATTCTAGGGTCGTCCAACAAGAGATAGAGGTGGATTTTTGGGCTGGCAGAAATTCTGATCCAGGTATTCAATTGAAGGGCCATTCTTGATACCATAAGGTTGGAAAGTTCTATGCCAGGACAGGGGACAGCTGATTCCAACAGCAAACAACGAGCAAGCATTGCATTATCTGCAACCAGTGTTAAGAGTTTAATCAAGAAATCATTGGCGTCCATCCAAATTATGAAATCCCCACCCCCAACCCCAACCCCATCTCCATCCCATCTCCTTCTCTCTAGATTAACAGAAGACTACCAATTGTGTCACGGACACTCTTTGTTGGTGGTTGTTAGCCAGCCTACCTGAATAAATTGCCAATTACCCTTTGGAAAAGAAAACATGGAACAAATCAAAGTGAAGAGGCAAAATCTAGTGGAGTGATATTGGCGGAAACCACCACCACATCAAGTCTGGCAGGAAATTCCCACAATTCAAATTCTAAGTTATATTTTTTTCTTTCATAATTATTTTATTATCATTTTTTGTACATTTGAGCTAATCATTTTAATTTTCACCTGAATAAGTCTTCTGGCAGCTGCTTTGGCCACTAGGCTGCACTTTGAGGAATTCCAATGTGATAAGAAGCTAGGACAGAAGCAATAAGTTACTAACTACTTCGTTAGGGACGATTTCAAAAATATAAACCTGATTAATGTTTTCTTGAAGTGCACTACGGAAGATGGCATGTGGAGCTTGGGTAATATTTCTTGTAGATAATAACCTCCTCAAACATTTCAAACACTGTTATTTTCACATGTTTTACATGGCTGAAGATGCATTTTTTTAAATGCCAATCAGGCAGACTGGCACATAGACTGGCACAAGTGAAAACACAAAAGAGGCTGAAGTGAAATACGCTGTACTATCAGACAACTAACTTTAACAAGAATGCGCTAACAAAATACAGTATAAATGGATGTACAGTATCATTACGGTACTGGGCTTATGAAGTCATCCAAAATGAGGTAAGATGTACTAAGTTCCTTACGAGAGCATCAAGGATGCTGAGTTAAAAGAGCAACAAAGTGCTCATATATTTACACAGTTAAATTAATGAAATTAATTGATATTATGATTCATAGAAAGATAAATACCTTATGTATTCAAGAAATTAAATAGGTTGGAGAAAAAACTAAGGAGATTAATAACTTATGCTTTAAACTTTGGTATTCAGGTAAGAGTCGCAATAGAAATGTTGTAGGTGTAATTATAGATAAGAATTTGAAAGATAATGTTCTAAAAAATAATATAATTGGAGATAGAATTATAGCTCTTAAGAGCGTTGTAGATATTAAGAATTTTAATATTATATATGCTTATGCTCCTCAAACAAGTTTAGATATAAGTTCAAAAGAAAAATTATAGAATAACCTAGAAGACTTATATAAATGATACCTCATGAAGGAAGAATTTTATTGGAGGTAATTTAAATGGACATGTCAGCAGAGTGGTAGAGAATATTCACAGTGGCTGCGGTTTTGAAGCGATTAATGATGAAGGTAGAGTCATAATGGATTTTGCTGTAGCATTTGATTTTGTTATTGGTAATACGTTATTCAAGAAAAGAGATGAATATATTATTACTTATAAAAATGAATCTAATAAAACACAAATTGATTATTTTCTTATGAGAAGAAGAGATCATCAAGAATGTAAAGATTGTAAGGTCTGGTCATTCCGAGTGAGGATTCAAGTACTCAACATCGATTATTAGTTTTGGATTTTAAGATAAATAGTTGTAAAATAAATAATACTAGGAATCACTGTCGTATAATTAGATGGGGACACATAAAATACAAAAAAAAATATTTTTATGAGTAAGCTTCAAGCTTTCAAGATTTAGGATATTCATAAAGAAGTAAATTCTATGTGGGAAAAAGTAACAAACATTATTAATCAAGGTGACAAAAGTTGCACTTAGAGAATCAAAAAAAAAAGTTTCTATAAATAAAAAAAGTTGATGGCTGAATAATAATGTGCAGGAAAAGATAAAATATAAAAATATGTGTCATAAAAATAGGTTTAAATGTAAAAGCTTAGATAACTAGGAAAAATATCAAACGAACCGCATTAAGTCTAAAAGAACAATTCGTGACATTAAAAATTCTGCTTTTAGTGATCTTTATATAAGATTATATACTAAGAATGGTGAAAAATATATGTATAAACTAGCCAAACAAAGAGAAAAGAAAAACAAATATTTAACCCAAGTAAAGTGTATTAAAGATGAAAATTACAAAGTGTTTTTCTTAGAAAAGATATTTAACATAAGTGGGTGAGTTACTTTGATAAAATTTTTAATGATGTTTTTGAAAATACGACCGACCTTAGTGATCTTAATATCGTTAATAATAATAAAACGCTTCACTTTGACTTTTGCGGGTTCAACCTAATCGCATTCTATAGTTTTCCAGTCTTTTGTTGCTCGTCTTCTACAACGTATACGAATAGAACCGTGTCGTTAGCGCGTCTCGTTTCTGTTTCGTCCTCTACTGAACTTGGCAGGGAGTTGATCCCCTTCAAAATTTTGCTCTTCCGTCCACTGCAAATTCATTGTTCTATCGTCGTGCCTCCCTCTTATGGTGATGGCTTCGGACAGATCATATGTCACTGCCCTTACGGGAGTCCTCGCCTCAGGTACTCTAAAATCGTTCTTTTTCCCTCCTTCGTTTGATTTGACAAAAGACATCAAGAAACCTGATAGGAATAATGAGAAGTCTATCATTTTTTTTATAGAAGCTAAATGTAATCAACTTGCTTCCTCCTTTCGTTTGAATTTGGTCAGAAAATTTCTTTATGGTCATCCCAAAATGGAGTTTATTCGTAAGGAATTTGAGCTTATGCATCTTGTTGGGAGTGAAAAGTTGAACTTTTAGATGGAAGACACATTCTTATTCAGCTTAATAATGAAGAGGATTACACACGATTATTTGTTAAAAAAGTAATCTGGATTGATCACAAAACAATAAAGATTTTTAAATAGTCGGTGTATTTTGACCCACATATGCAACCATCAATAATGAAACCACCAATATTTTCAGTTTAGATTCTCCTCCCTGACTTGAAATTTCGTTATTTTACTCAAAAAATTTTGTATTTTATTATCTCAGCTCATAGTAAGCCGCTCAAAACGGACATTCCTACTTTTAATTTTTCTCATCCTTCTGATACCAGAGCACTCATTGAAAGGAACATCACTTCTATCAGTACCATGGATATTAGCAAAATGTTGTAATTGAACATTTCCCTTCATATTGTTCGAACAATCATACGTTTCGTCACTCCAATTCTCAATGTCATCATCCACGCCCCCACCTCAGATCAAAGAAGCAAACTGTTCTGTCAGAGGCAGTGATTCCCCCTCCTGATATGATCCAAGTTATCGACATAATAGATCATCAAAAGTATAGCCCTGAAAATGTCACTATCCTCACAAGCAATATGTCAACTATTCAACCTCCACACAATGTTGTAGTTTCCCCATCTTTGGAACCTCTTTCCGTGGGGGCAAGGCAAACATTTCAAACTTCACCTGCCCTAGAACCTATCATTGATGTTATGAATGACAATATTGTTACTGCTTCTCTACCGTCTCATCAAGTCGAGCAAAATGTTAATGTTACTCAGGCACATGGGTTCATGATGTGCAACAATTTACACATGTTCGGCCACCTTTGGACCAATCTACTAATCAGATGAGTCAATCCTCGGATGAGGAATGAGAGGTTTACACATCCAGAAGGAAAAAGAAGAATGGAGACCTACTTGAGCTCAGGAATTTGATGAACGATACTTTGGTTACTTCAGGTAATTGTACGCACCTCACCAATTTGTTAG